TGTTGAGAATGATTTCAAGCCGTATATAACCAGTAGTCTACAGTCAACACTCCTCTATATGGCTGACTCAAACCAATTTTCAAACACTTCATAGATTTATGCGAAATTTTGGTCTGAACATCCGTAACCCTCTCCCAACCTAATCCTAACTACGCTCGTCAAAGAAGACGGTGCTGTTACCTCAGTCGTTGTAGTATCACAACCTTTTGATGAAGTTAAATTCCGCGTAATATAGTTCAACTAGGCAATACAATTTAGTCCAATCACATTTGTATACAAGAGAGGGTAGCAACAAAAGTGGTGACCTGTCATAATTCATAGTTGTTGATATTAATCGTCCTAGTTTGGGACTCTTCAGGGGCACGCACCTACCGGGGTTCGAACCCAGGACGTTCTGGTTACAAGGTGAGCTCGTAAACCATTCAGCCACTGGGGCCCGACCGATCCAACGGCCAGTTCATGAATTCTAATTCCTGCCAATTCACGACATAGTGCGACCCCTAGCCAATGTCTTCGGCAAGTATTTGTCAGCTTATGATGAAATCCTGCAACCAACCAAATCCCTACAAACTAACACATAATTTAATAAATGAGTTGTCATCAGGATACACTCAGAAACGAAGAAAAATATGACATTACACAAGAGTTCTCTGTCTGTCTGTCTGTCTGTTTTCGACATAGAACTTTGCACAAATGTGCGGAAGTTCAAGTCGCCACACTCCGTGTAGGACGCGAAGTAAGAGAAGAAAGTACAAGAAAAGCATAATCGAAACAGTGAGCAGAGGTGTGAGACAAAGGAGTAATAAAGAAAAACAAAACAGTTTCATTGGAGATCATAATTCACAAGGAGTGGATGCATCTGCGCCACTGAGAACGATTTTGAGCCATGTCACCAATTGTTTCCAACCATAGATTTTTACCGTCCCGAGGACCCCAACCAGTCAGGAAGTCTACACCTTCCTACGTGGCTTAGATCAACTGTTGTGGATTTGATTGACTGATGCCAAGTTTTTGTTTGACCGCCGCTAGCTTTTTTCCAGCCTGACCCTATATCCGCTAACATTGCTCGTCGAGGGAGGCGATGACTTGGCATACGTAACACATGTCCTAACCATCTCAGTCTTTGTAGCTTCACGACTTCGTCGATTGATTTCCCCTGTTTACCTAGAACTCGACGCCTAACTTCAATGTTGCTCACCTTATTATGCCACCACTTAACAAGGGAGATAAAACGCAGGGACCTATGATCAAAGACAGCTAATCTTTTCATGTTTTCCACTCTCAGTGGCCAGGTCTCACAGCTGGTCATAAAGGAGGACGGAGCGGACTGATGAGCAGTACACCCGCCCTTTGGTCGATAGTCGAACATCTCGTCTACGCCAGAGTCGGCGTAAACTGGCAAATGCGAAACGAGCCCCCTGTATTTGTGCTGAGATTTCGTCAGAGATCAGCCTGTTGTCACTGGCTGATGGTACTTCCCAAATAAGTGAAGCGGTCAATGTGCTCTACCACTTCACTCCCTATTTTAAAACTAGGCGTCGATGTAGTCCAGTCCTGTAACATCATCTTGCATTTGGCGGGAGCGAATCGCATGCCAAACATTCGTAGATTGCAGCTCAAGGTGTTTAGAAGACTCTGTATTTCGTCAGCGTCTTCGCCTAGAAGGACTATATCGTCTAAATATTCTAAGTCAACGAGATTATTCCCTGGTAGCCAGTCAATCCCTGAGTCGCTGAAGTCACCTAGGGTTAAGTCCATTAACACATCTATGATGAAGTTGAATAGAAAAGGGGATAATGGGCATCCTTGACGGACACCACTAGTCGTCACCAGTTCAGATGACAGCTCGCCGTAAGCCCTCACCTGGCTGTTCGAAAGAAACATAAGTTATAAGGCGTTTGAAAAAAATCAGAAAACAACAAGGCTCTTATCATGATAATGGGAGGGGTTAAATAACTTCCTGTCACGTATGATGGAGAAGATCTGTAGCTTAGGTGGATGATTTTGGTGTAGCTGTGTTCTCTGAACTGGATAATTTATTTGCGAAGCTTTCATTGCTGTGCTAGGCGACATCTTCAGCGCATACACTTCAATTTCAATTGAAGTGAGCCTTTAGAATTCTCCTCTAGTAGTCATCTCTCTTTGTGGGTAACCTTGAACGTGATTGGCTGTTTCTGTGTATCTTCACACCCTCTAGGTTACTTGTATTGGTATTGATTGTTTCTTTGACCTGAGGTTTGATCCTTTGTGTGAGATTCCCTTCTTATCGATTGGTAAATTTTGTATGCGTCAATGTGTCTACAGATTAACAACTTACTGGAATACCAGGCTTCTAAAAATTCTCTAGCATTCTTGGTGTTTCCTCTGTCTAATATTTGAACGTTGTCCTAGTCGAATTGATGTCCGTAGTTGTCTGTATGCAGTTAGGCGATATGAGGGAGTGGATGTCATGTCTTCTGACGTCTAGTTTATGATCGTGGATACGAAGACAACGTTGTCCTGTTTGGCCTATGTAGCGTTTTTCGCAGCTGTTACAACTTATTTTGTAGATGATGTTGGTTTTATCTTGTTTCACTGTTGAGTCTTTTGGTTGACACAGAGCTGGCTGAGTGAAGTGATTTTGTTGGTTTGTGTGTGGCAGCAATTCTTAAAGGTTTGAAGAGTCTTGCAGTGATTTCTGAGTTGTCTTTTATATATGGTAGGGCGATTGTCTTTGTGTTTTCCTTGGGGGCTAAATCAAAGGAAATCTCACACACAAAGTGCTAAACGTCAGATCAAGGAAACAATCAATACCAATACAAGTAACCTAGAGGGTTTGAAGACACAGAAACAACCAATCACGTTCAAGGTCACCTACCAGGAGAGATGACTAATAGTGAACTCCTGAAGAAATCAAGAGGCTCACTTCATCAAATTGAAGTGTATGCGCTGAAGATGTTGTCTAGTAGGGCAATAAAAGCTTTGCAAATAAACCATCCAGCTGTTCAGAGGACACAACTACATCAAAATAATTTCCTGTTGTCTGCACAACTCCGTTTACTCTGTGTGAATGAGTAGAACTTCAGAAATGCAAAGAGAACGAAAGCGTATTTTGTCTTTGACAGGTTATTCTTCACGTTTTAAATTACTTTGAAAGAAGTGTTTGTTGAAATGGAATGACCAGTGTTCAGTTATGGGAGACTCCTTGTAGTGTCACCATGTTGGATATTTTTCTTGAACCCTTTTAGACGGGAGACGTGTCGAAAGGTCAATGTGCCTGGCTCCAGAGGGACGGGTGAAGTGATCAGATAAGAAATCTTGTCTTTTAGGTTTTTGCATCCTAATGGACGACTGAAGAACAACACACACTTCTCCCTAGTGTTGCCACAAAGAATGTTCTTCTCAAAGATGATGGAATTCTTCTCGCTTAAAAGTGTATATCTTCAGGTTCAGTCTCTTATGAAATCAAGATTCATAGTATAAATCATGTTTCGTTCCTTCCAAACTTTCGGTTTGATATTGTTGTCAATGAATCTTTGTGGATATCCATTTTGGATGGGGTGTAGTTGTTCGTCTTCTAGGGCGTTAGGGCTACAGATGCGTCGGGTGCAACATTGGTAAGAGGCTTAATTCCTTCTTCGTTCAACCGCAGAAATGTTATGCGATAATAGGCTTTATTGTTCAATATCTTTTATACTTTTTCATGAAATTAATTTATACGACTCCATTATGCGTAAATTTTGTTTTGATAAAGTCTTACAGTGTTGTTATACAGTAATGTTTACTGATGACCACGTTTCGAGCACAATTTATTACTACTCATAATTATATCACGGTAATCACACGACTTCCTAACTTCATTTATTTTCCATCACTTGATTTGATTGGTAGTAGTATTTTCCATATTTCGGGTATGAGTGATGAATCATTCCTATTGCATGTGTTTGGTGTAGACTCGATGAACAAGGCGGGATTCAGTAATCAACCTCTCTCTCTCCACCTACCTGGATTACCTTTTAGAATTTTAACCCTCTCCCACCCTACTGTGTGGTTGTGTGTTAATGCATGCATTGCAATTGCTGGGCTCCTTTCTAAATTACTTATCTTTTCAGGGTCGACCATTCTTACCTTAGCTAAATTCTTATGTTCTGACAAACTGACTACCCGTGACCTACTAGTTTGACCTATGTAGTTGACCGAACTCAGTCATTGCAGAGTATTTAGTAAATTATATCATTTTGTTTAATTGGATCCACCGGGTCTCTTAGCCTACAGAGCTTGTCCTACCTGAGTGAGTTTGTTGGTTTAAATGCCACCCTAATTCCTGCTTTATTAAGAATCCTACGTAGGGATGGCCTCAGATGTCCCCTCCTTATATGGTATAACAGTAGATGAGTTATATTCTCTCCTATTTATGTTATTATTACTAGTTTCAGAATTATTTTTATTTTGGTTTTGGCCTTTACTGATCTTCCTAATGAATTTCATAGTATAGTTATTTAACATCAACGCCTCTTCTAACTGTTTTATTTCATCATTCAGGTTTTTTTACTAAGTAGCACAAAAAAGGATCTAAAAAGTAATCTAGGTAGGTGGAGAGAGAGGTTGATTACTGAATCCCGCCTTGTTCATCGAGTCTACACCAAACACATGCAATAGGAATGATTCATCACTCATACCCGAAATATGGAAAATACTACTACCAATCAAATCAAGTGATGGAAAATAATTGAACTATATAAATGAAGTTAGGAAGTCGTGTGATTACCGTGATATAATTATGAGTAGTAATAAATTGTGCTCGAAACGTGGTCATCAGTAAACATTACTGTATAACAACACTGTAAGACTTTATCAAAACAAAATTTACCCATAGTGGAATGACACTCTACCACCACAGTGTACAAGTTTTGATTCTTATATCAATGATAATTTACACTTGTGTATTTCTCACTGTGATTTGTTTTTTCTCTCTACTCCACAGATAGTATTATAAATAACTTGGTGTGTGTTCCAGAATAATGGATTCAAGAGATGAAGTTGTCTTAGCCTTGACAGATGATATGGATACTGGATCATCTTCATCAGGTGGACCTCACAGTCAGTCAACAAAACGTCTAGCGCTAATCGCACATTTCTTATTTCGTTCACTGGCGTTAATTATCTACATCCTATGCGCATGGTTTACAACCTCATTCATTGCACCCTTCATCTTCATATTGGTGTGTTTATCATTAGATTTTTGGGTGGTAAAAAACATCTCTGGACGTATTCTTGTCGGTCTACGTTGGTCAAGTTATACAGATGAAGAGGGTCAACTCCACTGGCGTTATGATTCACGTAAACCATCACCAATCGACACTGTTGACATGTCAACACTTAGTCGTCGTGAATTAGCAGCTCGTGTTGCGCGACAACAGTTGGCTCGACTATTTTGGATTGGTTTATTTACAAGTCCTACATTATGGTTTATGTTTCTGCTGGCCGCTGTATTTTCATTACATCTACGTTGGGGTCTAGTGTGTTGTATTGCTTTATGCATGAATCTGGCTAATGTTTATGGTTATCTACGTTGTTGGATAGGTGGTGGTAATATGAATGAGAATGCTTCAAATATGTTTTCAGTCATTAAGTCTTCTGTAAAGAAAAAAGTATTCAGTAATTTATGGTCTACCAGTATGATGAGTAAAACAGATTTGAATGCGTCTAGTGGCGGCGGTGGCAACACTGGTGCTAGTAGCGGCTTGCCTTTGATCGCTTGAAGAATGTCTAGACCTCTTCGATTACTGTTTCTTCTATACATAATGTAAAGTAAACTATTGTTGTATTACTCGGTATTTTGAATCAGCTGTGATACCTACGTATATATGTATGTACCGTATACATATATGCACACACACACACGCAAACACATCACTTCACAATCGTCCCTTATATTCGTCCCCTTTTAAAAAAGATAGACCACTGACTGGTTGGTTTTTTCAAGGATAATTCATCACGATAAGACGCTTAATTGTGTCATCATATGTAGTCAAATCATTGACACCTGCCTTTATTTTCAAATCGGGGTGGGGGGATTTTTCTATCCCACACATGAGAACAAGTTGTTTCACAGTGTAAATTTAGTTGTTTTTTTATTGCTTTGATTTACAACTTTATTTTTATCGCCATTATGATAAAATTCTCTTTTCGGTGCTTCTTTGTTCCCTGTTTCTCTTCTTTTTTTTTAAATTGTCAAAAAGGTTGTTTTAATAAGAAAGGATAAACTCAGATGTGCTGTTGTTGTTGTTTCTTGAGTTTTTACGACGGGTTTAATGATGAGCTGACATCATCAGTGACATTAGAAACCAAATCAACAAGGAGTGTACTCGTGGGCAGCTAGCTGGGTTTTTCTCCTCTTAACATGCGACTCTTCAACAGGACTCACCCACCATCGGGTTTAAACTCTGGGGACCTTCAGGTGGTTACAAAGCGATCTCATGGACAATTGTATCCAATGCTCCATGGATTTTAACATTTGCCAATTCACGTTATGTTTGCGTTTAGCACAACCGCTAGCCTATATCGTAGAGGTGATCAACTGTTCTCCTACTTAAATTGGTGGATGTATCCCACTGGTTACGATTTCTCACTAGAGCTCCAGGTAGATTATTCCTGTATGGAGTAGTCAGTAAGCTAGCTGGTGTGCATCAGTTTCATTATCAAATGTTGGTTTGTGGAGGGATTTTGATTGGTTACAGGTTTAATCGCTAGCTGGCATTAGTTAGAAAACCAGAAAGTTCTGGATAGCTGTTTCGTCCTAGTGTGTGTGACTCTTCATCAGCACGCACCTACTGGAATTAATAATATTAACATCTTTGTTCTGGACAGTATTTATAAAATGCACAGAATTTGCATAGGAGTTTATTGCATGATATTTTCCCTTCGTAAAATATCTTCAAGTGAAATATTAATTGACAGTATATCCTTCTTGTGACACACGGTGGTGGTTGGTCTCTGAGCTGATGAAGCATAAACCATTCCAGTATGTGACATATAAATCGGCTTTGTCTCATTCAGGAAATCCACCCATGATGTCTGGTTGAAAGCCACTTGTAAGATGTTCAAAAGTAAATTTTATGACTCAAGGACACAATTGAAGAACAGTTATCTCAGGTATTGGAACACGTTGCCACCCCATAAATCAGGCCATTCCTCAAGTGTAGTACGGATTGGCAAATCAGAAGCTTGTAAACATTTTAAATGCACACAAGAGCAGATAATAATACCATTGTAACAACAGAAGACAAGGGCCAGGCAACAGATCGTTTTATTATGAAAATCAACACCTATTTATACATATTTCAGACAACATTATTATAGACAAGCGCAGTCATCTGATTGGTTGTTTAGGTAGACAAACGCAGGCTTCTGATTGGTTGTTTCGGGATTCCTTGACAAACAGAGTTCTCTATCTGCGAATCATATTTTGCCACGTTAACTTCGCTGTGATTGGTTGTTGACTCAGCCTTGTTCACGGCCCATATTAGTGACCTAGACCTTAACGTAGATTAGTGCCAACCAATCGGCTAGCAGCCTGCTCTCACCACACTCGTCCCCCCGTCAAATACGTGCGACTGAAGTCGGCTTGATCTACTTGGTGCAGGCGTCATCGTTGGCTTGTCTCGCTGTATCCATTTCTGGAGCTCGCTGACGTTCACGCGCCTCTCATTGTTCTCCATTGCGACTGTGTCTGCGTAACCCCATCTCGAAGTGACCATATATGGTCCTTCCCACTTTGGAAACTGTTTGCCTGACCCTGTCGAACATTCGTCCATACTTCGGCCCACACCTTCATATGCTGCTTTCGCCCGACCTCCCAGCAGCGTCTCAAGTAGCAGCTCCATCGCTGACAGATCTTGAACGCCACTCAACTGCGCAGAAGCCTTGAAGTCCTGCCCGAAGATCCATATGTCTCCATCAAAAACTGCAGGGTATAGGCTTTTCATTTGTCGGTAGGCAGCGACACCAAATGTAACAACAGAAGACAAGGGCCAGGCAACAGATCGTTTTATTATGAAAATCAACACCTATTTATACATATTTCAGACAACATTATTATAGACAAGCGCAGCCATCTGATTGGTTGTTTAGGTAGACAAACGCAGGCTTCTGATTGGTTGTTTCGGGATTCCTTGACAAACAGAGTTCTCTATCTGCGAATCATATTTTGCCACGTTAACTTCGCTGTGATTGGTTGTTGACTCAGCCTTGTTCACGGCCCATATTAGTGACCTAGACCTTAACGTAGATTAGTGCCAACCAATCGGCTAGCAGCCTGCTCTCACCACACCATTAGAGGTCATATCTTAATCGATTGAAACAAACCGAACAAGAGAGAAATTATACGCAATAGAGAAAGAGAAGGAGAGTTGGAAGTTTTTGGTAGCCCAAGTTTTAAGCAGGTCGCCATTTGACCAAAAAAAAAAATTAAACCAGGTGATTCATTGGGAAAATAGATATAGGCAGATTTTGATTGGCTGTTGATTAGCTGGCTTCCTATTGGTCTAAAATATAAGTTAAAGCGGTAATCTTTTTATTTTGACACGGAAATTTACAGTCAGTATGATTTAGGGCTTACCTTACCATTATATAATGGCGTGTTAATTTTTTTGGTATGAGTATAGTGTGATAGTCACACGCTATTTGGATGCATCGGTGGTGTTTAAAGTACATTAAGATGTATGAGAATGTCTAGTAACTGAATATAAATCAACAATAATTTCGATGCATTTATTTTAAGCCCAAAATAGGATGTATGCATTTTTGATTACTAGGCGAATAAAATTTAACTACAATTTCTAAAAATTTAATGTATCCTTAATTAGTACATATAGATAAATGTATGTATTAACTAATCTACTTTTTTAAGTTGTCAATTCAATAACCTTTGGGATTTGTGCATACTAGGTCAGCATAAATCAAGTAAATTTCCCTTCAAACAGCTGAGAACGACAGTTTAAAGCATACTTTGGTTGACTGTTTTGTGATGAGAACGATTCGGAGTCAGTTATAAATTACACCGATCTGTGTCTTATTCATACGTTTTTCAGCTGAGGATTTCCTGTTCATAGCATATCCTGAATAACGGTGATTAATACGATTTATCACTTAGACCACAGCACCACCAAGCTTAAAACAATTCTAAATTTATTCTAACCTATTCCTCGATAATGGCTTTTTATGGTAACTGAAGATCATATTTACACACCATGTTCTGAAATGACACAGGTCGTGCTTAAAAAGACAGCTGCGTGCTGAATCAAAACTTTCCACTCTGGAGTAACGCTAGTTCATCCTTAATATGTCCTGTGAGGGCTGGAACAACGTTGATAAGCAAACCCAGTAGGTTCGATTTAGTGCCACTCATGCTGAAAAATCAGCGCACAGGTTCACTGTCAAACAATGGCAAAACAGTAAGGGAGTCTACTGTTACTATTATTAGCATACTCTATGTTACTATATTAGCATAGTATACGTTAATTAGCTCAATGATTGCAGGTTTACAATAATCTTTGACTACCAACATAATAACTGTGAACTTCAGGCTAAAAATTAGCTAAATAGTAGCACCCTGTGACAAAAACTGACCTACACACTGCAAAATGAGCAAAACATCCAGAAAAACCTTTAAAATTCAATGGAAAACGAATTCACGGAAACATATAACTAGCCGACGCAGGAACTCATCATGACCTAGAAACTGACTGTAGCCTCTTTCATTCATTGATTGGGATCGGATTTAAACATTAAGCGACAGATTGAATTGGTTATATACTTAATAAAACAGTCCATAGGTTGAATGTATAAATCCCAGAGAGGGGTGTATGTAGTTGAATTCAAAAGATTCTGTAGGCAGTTTAAGCATTACGCAACGCCGTGATAATTACGATGAGATAAACATTCGATTGGACACTAGTCAGTAGCTAGTGTAATATGTGTCTAGTCCCGTCGTCGACGGTGCAGACTGAATTCTATCAGTCAGTCAGGCTTGCAAGGTGGCCACCATACCACTAGGTGGTACACCGTGAATTGTTGGTATTATATGGTTGGAGGCAATCAGCCACAGGAAGCCTTGACTCCCCTAGATTTCGTGCTGGCTGGCACTCATCAGCAAGGGGGGTTCGAATGTCAGAAGGGATATGAGTTCCATCAAGACTGCAAATAAGCCTTGCTGACGACTGCCAACTAGTATGAAACCTAGATCAGGTGTTGCTTCCTGCTGATTACCTCCAACCATCCAGTACAGACAAAAAAATGGTGACGAGTAAGATGATGCTGTAAATTGTTCTGTAAGGAAGGGAGGACCGATGAGATTCGACGTTCCGAGATTGTTAGGAAAAACGCTTTATAAGTACGTCAATATGGTATACCTTATTTTTAAGTCTTCATTTGCAAATTGGTCGAATATCACCACATTTGATAGTTTGCTGGATTTTGCACAGTGTTCTCCCCAACAGTTCTTTTCTTCGATTGTCTTTTTCCACTGTCCCAAAACGTATTGTTACTTTTCTGAATTTGCTTACTGATGTACTACTTATATCTGATTATAAGTAGCACCACTCGAAATAATAAGCGATAGATTTAACAGATTGAATAAAAAAAGCCGATTGAAAGTAAATAGGGTGAAAGTAAGAATTGGGATTATAATAGTCCTGGCAGAGATTCCATTATGGATAAAATTTTATTTTGATGATTCTTTGTGACATCAAACATAAATCAT